CTTACTTCCTTGCGTACCGATGACAGCTGCGAATGAATTTATTCATTTTCTGGTGTTCCACTTCCTGAGACAGTTGTAAGCACTGTGTAACTGCCTCGAGGGTGCTTGACCATTTTAACACAACGTGGTGCGATCATCCCCCTTGCGCGGAGTGAGGGTTCTCGACCCCGCACAATATGATCTACTCGACCATCATTATGGTTACCGCCAAAAAAAAAACGGAGGTACGGTAACCTGGTTGCCGAGTTCACGAAGTGAAATTGGCTTGTTCTACAACATCGTTGCCAAGTGACGAAAACCCAATCCCGATGGCAAACACCGAGTGGGCGGCTTGTTTTACAACGTCGTTGCCAAGCGACGAAAACCCATCACCGATGGCAAACACCGGGGGGGTGGGGGGGGGCCTTAGAACGGGGTTTGGCGCGGGGAGCGTCGGGGGGTTGCCACTAAGCTGACATGCACAGCGGAGCTTGAGGAGGTTCATGGTTCTTGGTCAGTGCGCGATTCGCAAGCAAGAGATTAGGAGTCATACAAGTTTGGCTTTTACTGCACAAATGACTTCAACGTAGGTATGCATATGCACACAACGGTTTCTTGGCAGGGCAAGGGAGTAGGGGTCATGTCTCCCGAAGCGACAAGCATGCTAGCTGACCAAAGGAATGTTTCATTCTCAAACAATCTCTCTTTTGTCCCAGGACCTAATTGAACCTGTTCGCTCTCCAACCTACCACACCCATCATGTTGCTCGGCAGCGATACAACCCCGCCCCCGGTAATCACTACCACCACACACCACGTTTTTTAAGACCTGCAATTCTTTATTGTCCCATTTTGTCTAGTCTAGGCGTTGGTCCTAAGACCTTTCGGTACAGTTTTGGACGGGCAACAGCCCGCGTCACACAAGGACTACGTGCACGGATGTACGGCCACACAGGAGTTTCTGCTTCGCCTACTTCCGTCTGCGGTATGCAGATTCAAAACTAGTCTACTGCTTGTAAATTTAGATTCGTGGAAGAAAATACACAAGTCTACGAGTAAATAACACATCGGGTAAACCTACCAAATAAATATATCAGTGCCAATAGTATAGTCTATTATGACTATCGCAACACCCTGTTAGTATACCGCTGTCGGGGGACTAATCCTCCTAAAGGGATATCCAAGATGCGACATCCGATATTATCGTGAGATATCTGCAAAAGGCACCAAAGAATGGTGTGTGGAAATTCGCTGGTGGGGTCAGGGCAGTCTAATCCCTATATATTCCTCACGATAGGATACTCGTGGAAGGGGAAGGCAATTTGTGATCCAAGTATTTGTAGATGCATTCGTAGATTAGTCTAACCCACTTACGGTCGTATGAATTTGTACCAGGCTCACTTGCGAACCCGCAAGTCAGCCAGGATCAGAAAACGGGTGTTGAAGCACGTTGTAGCACGCCCAAGACAGCTACTGGTATATACCTAAACCGCCCAAAGTTGTGCGTGCAAACGTCGTGTCGCCAGTTTTGTAGCACATGCATGCTTGTTGCCCCCCCAAGCTGCACAAGAGCAAAATTGTGGAACACAATCTTTTCTCGGTCCCGACGGGAAACGGATTACTTAAAAACACATGATGTGCAGGCGCGGGGGAAAACCTACATACGTTGCAAGGGCTAACACCCGTGCTATGTAGTTCAGCACTAAGGAGCAACAACGTACGGCCAGCATACTGTTGAGAAAGCGTTGTATGGGGTGTAGAGCATGTAGCGTAGGGAGGGGATCGGCCCCGCGGCGGAACAAAACGAAGAGCGTACCGGATTCCGACGCCGTAAAGGGAGGATAGAGACCCCGTTATTGACGAAGAGTCAGCAGCGTACAGACGTCACACAGAGGGAGAATGCTTCTAAATCGAAAGGGGTGTGCTGTGTGCTGAAGAATTTCCCGCGGCAGCCAATGAGTTGTGGATACTGCTGTAGTCCGTGGCGCGATTCCATTCATCAATGATTTGATTTTTTCTTGGAGTGAATTCTCAAAACGTTTCACGAAGGTCTTCGATGACCTGTGTCGCATACGTATTCTGTCAGTGGTTCGGCATCCAGGCCAACCCACTCGCAACTTGCATCCACGCGCACGCCATCCGCATGAACTAGAACTATCCTCACTGAAACGTTGGAGAGATCCACGACATATATCAGAGCACCCGGTGGTTATTTAGAGAACGGCGGGCGTGTGCGCCTCGCCGTCATGGTGCAGACGTGTGGGTGGACATGAAGATTTGGGTGAATGTTGAAGGCAAACGAATGATGGTTGGTTGTTGGGTGAGCCACACCGCATCGGTGGTGATGCGTTGAACGACATGGGCTGCTACACAGAAGCAGGCAAAAAATCCTTTGTCGCGCTCATCGGCAAAGAGAGGGTACGCAGCTCTAGGCTGCTGTGGCAGCCACTCCAAGGCCTGAGCGGTTAGATGGTCTTGGGGCACGGGGAGCAGCGGGCCGCCTCCTCCTTCAAATTCCACCAGGAAAAAGCTGATGAAAATGCAACTGCTCTGCAGCAGTAGACTACTAGACTATACAAGGTACCAAATAGTTTTCTGTTGTCGAAACGTCGTGTGTGTGTTGTGTTTTTTGTCTGCTCCGCGAAGATGATGAATGATGATTCTCACACGACCGGCGCGCACCTGCTCCCACCCCGAGCCCAGCGCCTGCTGGCCGACCCATGCCGCCAGGGGTGTCTCCTGTTGCTGCAGCGGCTGCCCCTCGCCCTCCCCCTCGCCGATCAGGAGGCCCACCGATGAGTTGGAGATCCACGCCGTGTCCGTGCTCTTTGGGGACGAGTTGCTCTGGCCGTCTTGAGCATGCTTGTTGTCGTGTTTGGGGATGTCTCCCAACCAAAAGCTGCTTGACGGGTCTTCTTCTTCGAGCGGTCCCCCACCTCCTTCCACGGTTGCGATGCTGTTCGTTGTGCTGCCGCTGCTGGACGAGCTCCAGTCGCCAGAAGACAACACCGCCAACTCGGCGCTTTGAACCCTTGTGTGAAGCTTGGACATGCTCCTTGCTTTTTGATGCAGCGCAAGTCTTGCCGCTAGCCCGTCCGCCTCTCTCTCACCTCACCAGCAAACCGCGTCGTCGGCACTGATCGCGACGACCGGAACGTGTATGCACGCGCGTAGATCCCCGCAAAGAGTTAGATCAACGAGGAACATCCGGCGCCCTGCCCCTGTCGTAAAGCTGAAGTTCGAAGACGAACACCAGCATCGGCAAGAGCCGGCGGCAATGTACCGAGCGACTTTCTTCACGAGAGACTGCAGCAAGATGGTACCATACGTACGTGTTTCTTGTACATGTACACGGCCAAAGGAAAAGCCCCCTCAATCACCACCTGCCGCAGGATCTCCAGATGGAATAAACCTTGGGATTGGGGGGGG